ATGGCAGTGACTTTAGATTAACAACAGGAGTTTGAAACAATTCTTAACGCTTAGACCAGAAGCAATTTTTAACAGTAATCATGGTAGTTATTGGCATGGCACAGGTCCTCATAGAAATTCCTTAGAGAATTCATCGTCGCTACGATAAGAATAGGTAGGTAATCGGAAGCAAAAATTGTCAAACCCACTGTGTGCTTAAAATAAAGTATATAATATCATAATAATCCTATAATAATATTAGCATAATGATACCAACCGAGATAGACAGCTGGGAGATCGAGAATTGGAAAATATAGTGTTGCAAAGAAAAGCAAGTGGACAAATAAGGCGCGTTACAATACGACTCAAGGAATCACCATAATCAAATTTAAATAATGCATAAACAAAAGTTGCTGTGTTAGCGCGAACCTACTTCTATTTTTTTAAGTTTGAAATTTGCCTCTTGACACCAGGCATGAGCAGGAGAGGTATCCCCTCGGACCAAAGCCTCTTCTATTGCGACAGCCTCCTCATAAATGTCTGTAAGGCAGAGAGAGGCGGCAGGGCCAGCCTTGGCCAAAGCCAAAGCGGCCTTATGTTGTCCATTGGTGAACAGATGGTCGGCCAAAAGCCGATGAAATCTAGCTAGACAGACAAGGTGTTCATCTGGCGTCAAAGTCTTATCGGTAGAAATATATTCATCTTCGTGTATTTCACAGGAATTATCTCCATCTTTATTAGAAACATGGTCGGACTTTGTAAAAGCTCCAGATTCGTATGAACTGGGCTCACCATCAACCTCGATGTCACCTCCAACCAGTTCCTCGCCAGGTGATGACTGCCTGGTTTTCAATTCGGAAGCTGGAATAGAATTTGAAGGTATTGAGAATGTATATTACTGATAATATAGGGCTGGGAGATAAATAACTTTATTGTTGTAAGCTCGTAAAGCTATAGTTAATAAATTAATTAAGTGTATAGAGCAAAAAAATAATTGTGAGGAACTTCACCTTGTCTTAGGTGGCCAGGATAATTCTTCCCCTCGCTTAAAGATATTTGTTTGAGATGCTCAATCCTCCTTTTACAGGCAAGAACAAGATTCGATTCCTCTGTAAATACACTGGAGGCCTATAAACATTAGCCAAATAATAAAATAAGCAAACCTTTCTTTTTGAACCGGAAACAGCATTGATTACTTTGTCTAAAAGATCAACTGCCTCA